AGTCACAATTAGAGGATGAAAACAAGTATGCAAATAATAGTCCCGCTACCTTAAAAGAAGAAAGTTTATAATATGAGCAAATAGAGGGTTTAAACGAATTAGAAATAGGGTACAGTTAAACACCACATATCGGTAAACAAATTGGAGTGTACCTTTCCTGTGAATATGGAAGAAATCAAAGACTCGGGGGGGGGGGGGGAACGAATAGCACCACCCAAAAATGTTTATTTTGTACCAATGTCTGAGTTTCCCGTCATTTTTCTGAAGAATTTGACTGCGATAAAACAAAGAGTACAAAGCATGTTTATGATCACTGGAATTTAGAAATTATTCTCTGATGAGATATCTTTTATATATTATGCATGATAACACTACTTACTCGTCTTTTAAGTAATGTTGTAAACGTCACAGAACAAGAAGTACAACTTCCACTATTTAACTTTTTATGTCGCTGGCGTAATTCACGAAACTTGTCAACCATGCTCGTCTTTCCACTCATTTTTATGGATTCTGTTTCTTTACTTGTTCTACATCAGAACCATCTCCTTCCGGCTGCGGAAATAGAAACAAATATTAATAGAGAATACTGGTTGGACTGCAAATTTTTCAGATATTAACCAGCCATATCGAAGATGACATGGTAGGGTGACTATAACACTTCAGTGCAAACAATTTTGACTATTTCCTACTTATATTTATATAAATATTGTAAACCGCTTTCATTTTGAGAGAGACATATAATCATGAATTCTATGAACCTGGAAAAATTACAAAATTCACTGGGATCCTTAACACACTGACAAATAAACCAAAGCACAGTATGATCCCCATAATAAATGCTAGGAAGAACTTTTGTATGAAGTAAATTCAATATTCCTAGATGTTTACTGCACAACAATTTAAGCCTCAGCTAACTCTATTCACGTTGCTGTGTGATATACCATGTTTCAATACATTTGATTAAATTGTTGCTAAAAATACTTATACAAATTTGAACAAACTACTATTAATGACATTTTGTTTATGACATTTAACAAACTGCAGTTGATGCAAATTAGCTAATCAATATGCATAAACTCATAGCAAGCATATATTCATCTGAACAAACAAAATCCAGTACAAAGTTGCAATGCATTTGGACAAACAGCTTCAAAGAAACACATAGAACATATTGAGACAGGTTGATTGTTATGCACATTATCTAATTAAACTACACAGATTAATTCTAAACAATTATCAGTCATGTTACAATACAAACAGTATGCATATATAAGTTTTACTTATTTGAGCTTACCACTTTTCTAAGGTCTAAGACAAAACATGCTGAAACTACTTACTAAATATATGCAAATTAGGTAATCAATAGGTGCAAATTAATTTTAAAATAGTAGTACCGATATGTACGTAACATTGGAATGTTGATGGAACAAGATTTGGCATGCACAGACAAACAATGTACAGATAGAGAGTTGACTGACATCGGTATGACCTCCCAAAAATGAGTGTTGCCTCCAAATGTGCAAAAACAAGTAATCACAGTGAAAAGGTGTTTATGAATGTCAAATTTCACAGTTTATAATACATTCACTTTTGTATCTGCATTCACTCAATCATAGCATTGACGAACATGATCATATGCTGTGACGAAAATAAAGAAATGTTACCAGTAGAATTGTTTACTTACATCACTTGCAGCACCAGTTGATGTCATATCTGACACTAGTTTATCAGTATTTGAATCAATAGTCATTATCTCATTCACTTGTAACCGTGGCATCTATTATAAAACAAATAAAACTTGTTTTGTTATAAAGACCTATTCTTATTTTTTTTTTTTAAATGTATGCATAAATAATTAAACACTTAAAAATTGGTTCAGAATATAGACCAGTAAATATGTTTTTCTTATGTACATATCAATATGTACGGTAGATAACAAATATCTATGTTCTGTAAAACATGAAGGGAGGGTCTACTAAATAAAACACTATTAGATTTTGTACTCCATTCCTGTGTCAAGCAATGTTGTCATAAGGAAGTCTGGGAATTTTCACACTGGAAAGATTACAGATTAAATGTCTATTTAAAGGATATGAATGACAAGAGAGGGTATTTGTTAGCGATTTTCTAGAAGGTAAGGTGATTATTTGCCCCAGTATGCTAATTTCCCATGAGATGTACTGTTATAACCTCAATATGATATATTTGCCACAAAACAGCTTTTTATATCACGTTGCAAAGTGCAAATAATCAATCCTATTTTCCTCTGATTGAGTTTGTAATGCAAGGGGTACTGAGTTGTGGGTTATGACAATCACTTCACACATTGCATCATTACAATTCTAAAGACGTAATACGCCACTTTGCAGTCTATTGTGATATAAAATGGCTAACAAATGAATTTGACATTGTAAACTGGCATTCTAATATATTTAAAAATTTTAAATTAATCCACAATAAAGTGTGCTTTTCTATATTTCATACTCAAATTCCGGGGTTTGATACACACTCCATAGAAATAATGCATAGGTGGGAAATGTACATGAAAAACAATTTTAGTACAGTACAACTAAGTTGTAAAACTTATGATACATTGTTGACAACATAAACCAATAAAAACTGCTATGCTTGTTGCTGTACATAGTAATTGTTGTAAAACAGACTTCAGGCCAGACATGTCAATGACAGCATCATGTGTTTGATTGATATGATAGGAAGCATAGAGCGCAGATCAGAAGACACATGTATTTTTTCTTAGGTTGATGTCAGCAGACACAAGCGATTAACACCGGAGTTTTGTATCAATTTGAGCTGCAAGATAAGATTGATACTACTCTGGCAGTAATATGTCAACCCAAAAGAAAATATTGTCGGATTATATATTACATGCATATTTCTACAGAATGACAGTGGAACTAATGCTCATATTGGATTCAGTTAGATACCTAAGTTTTATTCAATTTCAGGTGACAAACAATGCCAAATCTTGCTTCAGCCAATCAGATGACTATATTATATTAAGATGTCGCCTGCTGAATTGCCTTCACCGGGAAAAAATGATGTGTTAAGACTATGCATGTTATATTTCAAGTTGCATTTCAATTTAATCTCAAAAGAGGACAGATTAGGGATGATGTCAAAAGATCGATGTCGGAACCCCCCTACCCCCCACTGAAACTTAATTGATAAATATTTGTCATGGCGTCAGACTACATTCACCATTAAATACAAAATGATAATCGGACAGTAGTATTGCATAGCAGTTGGTTGTCGGGTGTAAACAGATTTTACAAATGCACCTCATTTGACGCACGGATTTACACTCGAAACAAACCATTTTTCTGTTGTTGTTTTTTCCTTTTTTGGTTATTTCTGTCCATGATTGGATAGAAAAAAAACGAACTACAAATACTCCAAGATTTTTTTGACTTCATTAAAAAATAAAATCGTTTTTGTAGGATGGAAACTTTTTGAGGTCAAAAGCCCCCACCCCCAAACTAAAGGAAATAAGTTTTTTATCCGACATCGATCTTTTGACGTCGTCCCTTATCTGCATAGCGTGTGAAATCAACATATGATGTTCAATGAATCTCAACCTCGCCAAACACATATATCAGAGCTAAGGCTCAATGAGACACCATCATTCATGGAAGTCAGATAAGATCATGTAGATATTAAACGACCAGTCTTTAAGAAAACAAATTATTATAAACATCTTTACCTCTACTTTTGAATTCATATCTCTTTTTTTGCACTGCTCTGACAACTTCCTTGTTTGGAATCTGTTACTGATTCTTTTAAGAAGTGATTTAAAAATATTGATGAACTGTCCATTTGCAAAGAACACTATGTTAACCGCTGCAGCCGCAGTCCAGAATGTGGGAAAAAGATACAGATTAAGTACAGCAAGCATGGTTCCAAGGTAAAATCTGATGAAAAAAAAAAATAAATTAATTTGTGAGATTTTATTGAAATTTTAAATAAATTAAGTTGTAAATTGTCATTATTTTAACCTTCCATCCTTCAAAATATTTAAGCACTAAGGCTGAGAAAAACAATATCTCTGTATCTCGTTTCCGCGCGCATCATTTTGAACTATGCGCCTCAAAAGTTTTTTTTCTTCTAAAGCATTCCAAAATGCTTTTGTACTCGCACTTGTCTTAAATTTCCCCCATTTTAGCTCAGTATTCGGAAAAAAAAAAAAAAAAAATCGCCTCATCGCCTCATTTTAAAATTTCCATGAAACGAGAAACAGAGAATTTTTTATTTTTTTTTTCTGGCCTAACGAGCCCTGCAACCTCAACATATGGAATATTTGGTGTATTTGAGTTCTCAGCAAGGCATCTTTGACCTTATCACAAAAATCATCACACATGCACACGTATCGGAATAGTGGTTAAGTACGTGCAAGGTTTGAAGAGAATGGTTACATGTACAAATTATTTCAATATATTAGAAAACTAAGTCACTCTAGCTAGAATGTATTAGCTTTTTGGCATGATTTCTTTCCATTCTTGACTCCTGATGAGGGGACTGCGCAAAACAATGAGCAAGAGATAATTTCAATGCAAACTCATTATCCCAACGTCTATGTGAACATTACTACTGTAGAATACTTTATATTAGCTGGAACTGAAAAGGCTTTTTGAGTGCTTTGTTTGGAATTTATTTTCACCAGTTTAATGTGAAATATAGGAAAATAACTATATTCGCTGGAATTTATTTTCACTGAAGCATCTCTTCAGCGAAAATAAATATCCAAGCGAAATAAAAGTATTCTACAGTATTCAAGTTGAGGTCCTGTAATGAGTGAACAAATAAAGAAAACAACATACTCACAATAATGATAGATAAATATTACTCCAGAATAAAATCTTGTATACTGTTTGTAACTTATGGCAGGTATAAACTATTGCTGGTTGCAAATCTAATATGAACTCTCTATACTGAGACATGACTTCTTTAGATTGCCAGTCTTCCTGGTATTGCACATCTTGTGGAGTAGTCAGCAGTAAGTTAACTGCAGACGGGGATTTAAGAATTCGGTGGTTTCTTTTGCTCTTTTCTTTAGCCTTCTTGACCATAAACCCTAGACCAGCTAGGACTAAAAGTATGACCAGAATAGCCCAAAGTAGTTGTACTGTCAATGGAAATAATGTAGCATGATAAGTGCTAGGTAATTGTGAATGGTGCATGGGTGTCATGTGATTTTGTCTATTGCAATGAATAAGTAATTGGTAAATTATTCTGTAATGCATTTCTTAATTTACCTACTCAAAGCACTGACAATACAATTACAATAAAATACTTTAGCAGGGAAAGATGAAGATGACAACAGGTGCTTCTTACTACTCATAAATTGCCACTGAATATAGGGCTTTTGTTACGAATGATTGTTGGATATCCCTCCTCTTCTCCCCAAAACAACAAAACTAAAATGAATACTAATTACCCCGGAATTGAGTAACAGCTAAAGAAGCAGATTCGGCAAATTTTTATTTAAAACCCATCACTGATATTCCAAGTGCTAGGAAATAATTTCATGCAATTTAGTGGAGTAAGTGGAGCAACACATCATGATTGTTGGTTACTTTTGATACCTCTGCTTAATTATCATTAACAAATACGCACTTACCGGTATTTACCATAAAACATTGTAAGTACACTGGGTAAACAAAAACTTGGGTATTTGTTTGCACACAAGAAAAATCAAAGAAAGCTTAGAAAGAACTCCCGTGTGCTTAGAGTATTGGAGACACATTAAAAATTAATTCAAAATTACTTATACTTGAGATATTGGTGGAATAGCTGAAAACTAATTATGCAAATAAGGTAATTAATATGAACAGATTTAAGTGTAAAACTAATAAGGGATGCACAATGTACCAAGTTTCATTGAAATGTGATTAGAACC